AGTTCAATTTTTCAATTTCTAATAAAATACTTTTTATTCATCCACTCAAGTTCAAATACATTTTTTTAAACTTGTAGAGGATGACCACTTGATGTTAATACAGTTCTTCTTTCAATTCCTACTATTAGTTCACACTCTCCCTATATCTTGTTCAAATTTTCAATCGTTCATAAAATACTTTTTATTCATCCACTCAAGTTCAAATACATTTTAGACTTTATTCAATTCCTACTATTAGTTCACACTCTCCCTATATCTTGTTCAAATATTCAATCGTTAATAAAATACTTTTTATTCATCCACTCAAGTTCAAATACATTTCTGTTTATACTTGTAGTGGATGACACTTGATGTTAATACAGTTCTTCTTTCAATTCCTACTATTAGTTCACACTCTCCCTATATCTTGTTCAAATTTTCAATCGTTAATAAAAAACTTTTTATTCATCCACTCAAGTTCAAATACATTTCTGTTTATACTTGGAGTGGATGACACTTGATGTTAATACAGTTCTTCTTTCAATTCCTACTATTAGTTCACACTCTCCCTATATCTAGTTCAATTTTTCAATTGTTAATAAAATACTTTTTATTCATCCACTCAAGTTCAAATAAATTTTTTTAAACTTGTAGTGGATGACCACTTGATGTTAATACAATTTTTTTTCAAATATAAATTCATTCATTAAATATAATTAATCAATTTTAGTTTTTTATAGGAGAAAAAATTGTAATTATTTAATAAAAAGTAACTTAAATAAAAAATTTCTTTGTTGACCTAAGTAAGAAACAACTTTAAAATTTTCTTTTTTTTTTTAATATTACTTGCTTTATATGAACAAAAACAGTTTTTTCTTCTTTTCTTTTTTGTCAAAAGAAATAATAAAATTAAGAATTATTACTGAAATGAAAAATTTTACCATCTTATAAATCGTGTTGGCGATATAAGATGTAAAAATTTCCCCAACATTGACAAAAAACATGTTATTCAAAATAGCGATAGCTCCAAATCTTTTTGTAAAATTAAAAATTTTATTTATATGTTAACCTGAGGTTTTTGTAATATGAAATATGTTGGACAAACCAGTAACTTTCTTAACATTCGAATTAATCAACACAGTTCTGATATAAACAGCAACAAAATTATCAATAACCCAGAATTAAATCATTTTAGAGAACATAATTTTAACAATGTCAAAATTAATATTTTAGATATAGTGGAAGATTTAATTTAAGACTACAAAAAGAAAATTACTACATGCTTTTATACAAAACAATTTTGCAGTATGGGCTAAACGATGCCTTCCAACTTACACAGATTAACTTTAATAACTCCTCAACTTTTTCATATTAAAGATAAGAGTACAAATCGAGGTAAACGGGGATCAAGAAGTAATAGAAACTCTCTTAATAGTGACAAATTAAATGTAAATTTTATTTCTAATATGGAAAAAGATTTTAATAAACATTATAATATTAAACCAATGAAAGATTTTGTTTTCTCCCAGAAGTATAATGATGAATATAAGCTTCAAGATCTTATAATTAACTTTTCTTTCATTAATTTACACTTCAAAATTCTTTGTTTCGATCTTGTAAAAGCCAAAATGAGTAAAATTTCTCCAAATAAAAAGAAAAATTCAGATAATTTATATTTCGTAATTAACTTTCAAAATCCTATTTTCGATAAGATCAAATTTCATAAAATTTTTGAAAATTTTAAAACTTTATTTCCATTAAAAGATTTTAACATAATTAAAAGCTTTAAATATAATAAATCTCTTGGTAAAACTATGCTTAATTATATTGATATAAGCAAAAATTTAGGGCGGATTAATGTATCCGATTATGAATGTCACTGTGAAGAGGAGAAATATTTTGATTTTGTTGATAAACATCATAAACAAATTATTACTGGTAATTTAAATATCGAAAACTTACAACTCGGGAATTTAATGATAAAAGGCACAAAATTTAGACCCATTTACCATATATCAATTAATGAAATTCTAAAATACTTTCTTAATGATCTCAATAGTTTTCGTTTAAAGATATCAAATAGATTTTCTTTATGTTTAGGTATGCTAAGAGAATGGAAATGTTTGTTATTATTTTAAAAACTTTTTTTTCAATAATAAGGCTATATAAGAAGTTAAAAATTATAGAAGTTAAATATTATATAAGAAGTTAAAAATTAAAATTAGCAATATACAATTTCCTTGCTTAATTATCAGTCCTAAATTTCATAAAATTCCTATAAAATTTAGAACAATCACATGTGAATTACCTAATTAAACCTGGCACCATTTTCTTTAACTACTTAAATAAAATTATTAACGATATTATTAAAGAACGTTTTTCTTGGTTTATCACTAATAATAAACCGATTTTAGAATTCATTAAACATAATAAAATTAATTCTATTTCGACTTTAGATTTCCAGAATCTTTTCAATAGCATTCTCCTCTCTAAACTAAAAGATGTCCTTTTGAATTATTACTATGATTTTAAAAATATCCTTTATTGCGATTTTGATTATTGGGAATTTCTAATTAATTTTTGTCTTTTTAATAATTATCTTTACAATGGAAAAGATATTTTTCTTCAAATTTATGGAATACCACAAACATTTAATTATTCCTCTCTCTTAGCTAACTTATTTTTGCATTATTATGAAAAAAATTATACTCTTAATATTAAATTTGTTTTTAGATTTATTGATGATTTATTTGTCTTTAATTTTCAAGATTATACTATTTTATTAAATAATATTTTCTCCGAGGAATTAATCTTGCTTCGTAATCATGATTATAAGATTAATTTCAATTTTTTGGATTTGGGTATTATGAAAGAAGAAAATGTCTGCTTTGTTGATTTATAAGATAAAAGAAATGATTTTAATTTTAATATAAGTAGACTAATTTTTTTTGAATTCTAATGTTACTAGGAATATCTATTTAAATACTATTTTTAATGAAATGAATAGAATTAAAAGAATATGAATCAATGTTTATTTATCCGAAAAACAAATCGAAAAATTCTTTCAAAATTTGATAAAAAGCAATGGATACCCAACTAAAGTAATTAAATTCAATATTAAATCATTGAGTTAATTGTATATTATTGTAAATAAATTTACTAAAAAATTTCTTTGTTAATTTATATAATTTTTATTATATGCAAATCCATTTCGGGCAAATCCGTGGCTAAAATTATGCGCAAAACAGGCAATTCATGTTTCTTTCTCTTTTCTATATTTTTTTTTTCTTAAATAAATGTTAAATTTCTAGAATTCTTAATTGTCAACTTCTTTAAATTATCCAGTATAAATATTACCTTGTGAACATACATTTTCGGGCCAATCCTTGGTAACTAACCTTCAGTGCTGCAGTAAGAACGCACTTTAATACAAAACCCCTCTATTTACGCTTTTACCTCTCCCCCCTGCAGAGGATCGAAATTGTGATGGCATGTCTTTGGATCATCCTCAGGGATGTTTCCCAGACCGTCGCCAATAGCCCATTATGCAGCTCTAGTGCGACGTAAATGAACTACAACAACAACGCTTTTACCTCAATTTGCTCTTTTGGTTTCATATTTTGCAATCTGGCAATCATATTACGAAAATATTTTAAATCATTCTTGAAAAACTTCCCGTTCATGTAAGTTCATTTGAACTCACAACTCGCTTTATAGATTTCATTTCATGCTTTATTCTGTTTTTTTTATTTATATTTTATTTTCTGATTTTACGTGATATTTTTACTTAATGTGTTCTATTTTATTTGTTGTAAATTTTTTGTAAAAAAATTTTTTTGAGTGCTTCTCACACTATTGTATTGATATATTTTGCTTTGGCTATATTGATACACTATTAGAAAGCACTCCTTTTTGCGGATATAATCGTGTGAGCTGATGAAAAGATTATATCATTTATTTTTCGAATTCTTAGTAAATTTTTTTCTCCCTTTTTTTCATTGTTCTGTAATTTTTTCCATGTGTTCTCTACTTTTTTGAACTAATATATATGTATATAAACTGAAAAAAAAAATACTACCTAATCTTTCTAAATTTAAATATGAAAAGCGTGTTTTGCTCACTCGAATAGCACAAAGTGACTAAGAGCGGTAACAAACCATAATAATAAATAGTATCGAAACTATTTTAGCTCTTTTAATGGCAGCCCTTCAGTTATGTGAAGGATGTATTTTTCCGTGCGGTATTTAACTAGTGTTGAATAAATAATTGAATTTTTAAGAGGTTATAATACCGTTGAATAAACTCTTTATGGTGTTTAACCTTTTCAGGTTAGAGAAACCATAAATTTTCAAATGATGAAAAAAATATTATTGCAAGATAAAAGATTGCCATAATTTGTTTCCATTTTGAAATTATTTTTTTTCTTCTTCAGCATTTGAAAATTCACAGTTTACTCACTTTTTCGATACTTTAAATTACTTTGCAGAAACAGAATTTGACATTAAATGTTCTTTTCTTATTGAAAGCACTCTTTTAAATATCTTATGATTAATAAATTAAGTACAGTCAACAGTCAAATTATTAGACGCACTATAAGATTCTATGTAAAATCTTAATTATCAGGTGATACTATACAGCTTTATTATTTTTGACTGAACCGGTTTGCACTTGTTTACGTTCGTGTGTACCAATGCGTTAAATTAGACGATATATATTATATAAATTCGACCATTGGATAAATTTGGCGATATATTATATAAATATAGAATATTTATTATATCAGGTATTCTATTAGTATAGTATAATAATTGGATCGAATTATTAGACGCACAACGTAAACAAGTGCAAACCGGTTTCAGTGGCGTAAAAATAATAAAGCTGTATAGTGTATCATCTGATAATTAAGATTTTACATAGAATCTTACAGTGCGTCTAATGATTTGGCCAGTTACTGAATATCAGTATTTTTTCAATATCAGTTGAAATAAAACCTATAAAATAGTGTGTGTGTGTGTTCACAGGTGTGGTTTCAAAACAGGCGTTCGAAAGAGCGAAGAATGAAGCAACTGAGCAACTTGGGAGCAAGAAGACATTTTTTTAGGAATCCAAGGCGAGCGATGCGTCCTCTTAGAGCCGGTCTCATGGACGAAGCTGTCCCACACAACGCCTTTGCCTATTTCTCAGGTAATCATTCTCTTAAGCCTATATTGCAAAAAAAGATTGTTTGCAGTCTACAGCAAAAGTTGTCAGCAAGTGCTGTGAAGTTTTCAACTGTTTTTAACATTGCAGCAGGCTGCTGTAAAATTTGCAATGAAGTTGCTGTTTTAAACATTGCAGCAGACTGCTGTAAAATTTGCATTGAAGTTGTTGTTTTAAACATTACAGCAAAATGATGTAAAATTTGGAAAAAAGTTGCTGTTTTGAACATTACAGCAGATTGATGCAGAAAGTGCTGTTATTACAACACACTGTTGTCAGTGTCACAATAGACTTTTTGTCTGACAGTACTATGAATGTAACAGCACATTGCCGCCAGTTCATATGATACTCTTGCTGACAGTATTATGTACTTTTAGTAACAGCAAGTTGTTGAATTTATGATGAAATATTTACAGCATTCTGCATAACAGCAACTTTGTAAATTTTAAATCTGCTTCTGGCAGCCATGGTACCGGTGAGGTTTTGTTATAAAACTCATACGTTTTTTTATTCTTTCTCTAGTGTAACTAGCTAGCTGAGTAATAATGATACACTAGTGGGCTGCGGCCCGTGCTCGCTAACGCTCGCCAATCCCCGAAAATTGTTACGCAATCTTATATGGTTTGCTTCGCTCGCTACTAACTTAGTTACTTTGCAAGTGCACAAAATTCTAAGAATTCAAAACAATCATTCAAATCCTTATAAAAACTTTTTTTTAAAAAAAAAAAAATTACATCTATTTAGTAAATACTAAGTCATTGAAATAAATTTGAATTCAAATAAATGACATGTAATTCGTTTAACCTATTAGAAATGTGCTATAGTATAAAATCTTAAGATAAAATTTCTAAAACTGATATCTCTTTAAAAAAGTTAAAATTTTGGCTATAATTAAGTCTATTAAAAATTGAAATAAAGGAATTGCAATGGAGACTTTAAATAACCTTCTA